ATAAAATCTGTACTAAAAAAATCAACATACTTAATTTATTTGTTTTTCTTGTAGTAAATTACAATTGTTTATCAGTTTATTTTGAAGTATATTTTTATTGTTTATTATTATTTGTAAATAATCCGACCGGTAACTAAAAAATTTCAATCTATTAATTTTAACATATCAATTAAGTTGTCACTAATTGGGAAAATTTGATCTTTGCATGCAGCAACCATCTCTATTATTGATTAACCAAAAACAAAATGGAATACATGCAAGTTTTCACCAAACCAAATCAACCCTAAATTTGCAATATATTCATGATTTTTCGAATACTAATCAGAAATTTGGAATCTATACATTATTGCCTTTGAAATTCTTCTTGTCCGCTTCAACGACCGCTTATAACTATGAATTTTTCTTGGAGCATACGTATCAGGTTTTTGTTTGATCTCTTCTTCCGAAACGATTGGTGCGTTTTTCCTACTTCTTGTCTGCGTCAACAACACGTTCTTCCATGGTAGGTCTTGGTTGAGATGGATGGGCGATCTAACATGGTAACAGCTGTGGAAGAAAGGATGCTCAAGTGCCTCCATAGCTGTGGGCCTCATGCATGGATTCCAGGAAAGAAGTGTAGCAATCAGACACAATGCTTCGCTGTTGCAGATGGTAATAGGGACGCAAGAGGCACACCAGGAAGATCTGGGAACTGATAATTCATATTAACTGCAAGTTGAAGTCCCAATTTTCCATTTGCTTTCTGTTGGACTTCCGATCACACTGCAGATCTTATACAATACTTCTCCGGCACTACCCCCTTTAAACAATCGCTGATTGGTAAATAATTCAGCCATGATTACACCCATTGCACACATATCAACCGAAGAATCATATCGTTGCTGAAGAAGAACTTCAGGGGCACTATACCAGCGTGTTGGTAATTGGCGCTATATACAGGTGAATGAGGCAGAGTACAAGACCAAAGATATGAGGCAAAAGTGCTTTCACTGTTTTATTGAATACTTCATAAACGTGGGGATACAATTACAGAGCTTATTGCCTTGCTACTTAAACATAAACCAATGCATAAAAAACGGAAACTTATCAACTACATACTAAAGACTAGGAGCTCACACCTCACGTGGCTTTGATTTATTCAAGCTAATAACAGCTAATTAAAGACTCAAATAAAACACGTGCTAACTAATAATAATGGACATATTTCAAAGTTACTTTAACATTTTCCCCTGTAATTCTGAAATTCATACCTTCATAAATCCAACAAGGTTTCTCATCTCTTCAGATTTCACCCTTGCTAATGGCTTAGTGAGCATATCTGCTTTCTGTTCATTTGTACTGACATGTGTAACTGATATCCCCCCATTCTCGATGCATTCTCTGATGAAGTGGTACCTGACATCTATGTGTTTACTTCTCCCATGAAACACATGGTTTTTCATGAGATCAAGAGCATACTTATTATCAACAAACATTGCTATCGGAGGTATTGCTTGACCTGAAATACTGGATAGAAGTCGCCTTAACCAGATTCCTTGACAAGCAGTCATTGTGGCAGCCATAAATTCAGCTTCACATGAGGATAAAGCCACACATCTTTGCTTCTGTGAGGCCCACGTGACCAGATTACCATTTACATAATATGCCATGCCACCAGTGCTCCTTCTATCACTCTCATCTTTTGCATGATCACTATCTGAATACCCTTCAATAGTGATCTGTTCTTGTCCCCTTTTGTAGACCAGCCCATAGTCTGTGGTACCTTTAATGTACCTGAGTATTCCCTTTACTGACTGAAGGTGTTTCATAGTAGGTTTTTCCATAAAACGGCTGACTACACCGACTGCAAACGTGATATCAGGACGAGTATGTGTCAAATATCTGAGTCCACCCACTATAGTCCTGTATTCAGTGGGATTGACAGGTTCTCCCTCTTCATCTTTGAGGAGCTTTATCTTGTGTTCCATGGGGCTTTTGGTGGGGTTGCAGGCTAGCATTTGAGTCTTAGCTAGAAGGTTCTTGGCATATGCTTCTTGTTTCAGAGTAATGCAATTCTCCTGCTGATTTACTTCTATTCCCAAGTAATAAGCCAATAGCCCAAGGTCGCTCATTTCAAACCTTTCATTCATCTCTAGTTTGAACTTCTTCACAGCCTCTTGACAGCTCCCTGTAACCAACAAGTTGTCGACATATACCCCAACAATCAGGGTATTCCCATCTTTCTTCCTAGTGTACACTGAATACTCTTGTGCACACCTTTTAAAGTTCAGTCTCTTTAGGTACTTGTCAAGGCAGGCATTCCAGGCCCTGGGTGCCTGCTTTTGACCATACAATGCCTTTGACAATTTATACACATTGTTCAATTCTCCTTTCTTCTCAAAGCCCTTCGGTTGAGACACATAGACCTCTTCTTCTAATTTCCCATTTAGGAATGCAGAGCTCACGTCGAGGTGGTGTACCTGCCACCCAGATGAGGCTGCAAGAGCAATGATAACACGTCCCGTTTCTATTCTCGCGACTGGAGCGAATACTTCTTCAAAGTCGATCCCTTGTTTCTGAACATATCCTTTTGCCACGATTCTCCCCTTGTGCTTCATAATTTTCCCAGTTAGGTCTCGTTTGACTTTAAACACCCACTTCAGCCCAATCGGTGTTCGACCAATTGGTAGCTTGACGATATTCCACGTGTTATTCTTTTCGATCGAAGTCAACTCAGCTTTCATCACTTCCACCCAATTTGGGTTTTGCTTTGCCTCTTGATATGACAAGGGTTCTTCATCGTTGTGTATCAAAAGGAGTTCCTCCAGGGGTATCTAAACTTCTTCCGTATTTTCGTACAGATCTGTGAGCAGTCGGAAACGCTTTGGGGCACCACCGCCTGTGGAACTTGTGGCTGTGCTGGGGGTTGTTGCCGGAGTCGGAGAATTGGGGTTATCTGGCAAATTTGGTATACCCGATGGCGTATTTGAGGGTGTGGGATGTGGACTTGGGTCGGATTGTGGGCTATTGGACTGAGTGGATTCGGCCCAATCAACATTAGTCTGTGGCGACCCATGTCCTTGGTCCGGCGTATCTGGAACCTATTCACCATCTTCATTGTATAGCTCATCGTTGAAGTCAAAGCCTTCAACAGTGGATTCGGCCCAATCAACATTAATTTTATAATTTATTTTTTCAAATAACTTTAAAAAGTTTTACCTAATAAAAAACATTAGTATATTCTTTCTCTCAAAAGTTTTTCATTTATTAAATATTAAACTATAATATAGTAGTTGTTTATAAATTTCAAAACACAACTAAATAATTTGTTTTTGTTTCATCTGTAAAAATTGGATGATATTATAATTCTGTGTCGTTTTAAAATGTTCTGGTTTTTGAAAACCGAATTATAAAAACCGATCCAACCAAATTGTAAATGAATCGGATTGGATTTTAATTTAGTTTGGACCATTCGGATCCATATTTTGAAAATCGAAATAAATTTGGATTTACTTAATTGGATCGGATCGACCAATCCATTCAAACAAACACCCCTAGCCACTGTACATATTAAGTTTTTATTATTATTATTATTATTATTAGTAGTAGTAGTAGTATAGTAGTAGTAGATACAAACATTGTAAAATAATAAATCTAATAAAAAGCATTGAAATTTCATACAAACACACTCCATCTAATACAAACTAGGAGATAAGCCCGGGCTTCGCCCCGGGACGGTTTTTTGTTGGTTTTTTTAAAGTACATTGCTATTTCGTTACATTTTTATCAAAAATTAAAAGACTTAAAGTTTCAAATAGAAGAATTATATGCAAATATTAATAATGTAGTTACTTTTATTTGTAGTGATAAATTGTTTTTAAAAGGAAAAGTTGAAAGTATGATGAAATAATTAAAAAACATTAATCCTCCTACAATCACCATCGAAGAGGTGTCGATTAGTCAACACTTTATTCACCATGTAGTAAGTCTTTGGAGAGGCATATTTTTGTAGTTTACTTAGATTTATTAAAAAAAATTATTTTCTTTTGAAGAAAGTTAAATGATTTTTATTAATTTTCGATAATTAAAAAAATAGAATCTTTATTTAATAAATATGATCTATAATTTTGGAATTTAGAAGTTACATTCATTAATTATAGGAATTCATTAATTATATATGATTTACTCATATTAAATTAAATTGTAAAATTACTTTTTTATCCTTACACTAGTTTATAACCCGTGGGAACCACGGTTATAAAATTAATTAAACTTTTATAATTATTAATCAGTTATTATTTTTTTTAAATAAGTCATTTTAAATAAATTATTAATTAAGAGATATATCAAAAATTTAAAGTTATTATAACTTCAAATTTAACATATAATTAGAAAATATAAATTTGAATTTTGAAATGAGTTGCCTATAATATATATATATATATATATATATATATATATATATATATATATATATATATATATATACATGACACATGACATAATATTAATGAGGAGTTGTATTAGAGTGACACTTAACAAAAGGATATTAAAACTATTCATTTATTAGAATAGAGATATTGATTGGTGTAGAATTATTCTTGCATTCTTAACTTTTTCACGTTCTCGGTTTAACCCGTATGTTATATTTATAATTTGTACTAAAAAAATCAACATACTTAATTTATTTGTTTTTCTTCTATTACATTGCAATTTTTATGTGTTTAATTTTTAAGTATATTTTCATTGTTTTTTATTATTTGTACATAATCTAACTAAAAAATTTCAATCTATTAGTTTTAAAATATCAATTAAGTTGAGTTTGAATCGACTAATCGGGAAAATTTGATCTTTGCATGCAGAATCTTTATTAATTATTGATTAACCAAAAACCAAATGGAATACATGCAAATTATCACCAAACCAAATCAACCCTAAATTTGCAATATATTCATGATTTTTCGACTACTAGTCATAAATTTGGAATCTCATTATTGCCTTCGAAATTCTTCTTGTCCGCTTTAACGATCGCTTTTAACTATGAATTTTTCTTGGAGCATACGTATCAGGTTTTGTTTGTTCACTTTTTCCGAAACGATTGGTGCGCTTTTCCTACTTCTTGTCTGCGTCAACAACGCTTTCTTCCATGGTAGGTCTTGGTTGCGATGGATTGGCAATGGAACATGGTAGCAGCTGTGGAAGAAAGGATGCTTAAGTGCCTCCATAGCTGTGGGCCTCATGCATGGATTCCAAGAAAGAAGTGCAGCAATCAGACACAATGCTTCACTGCTTGCAGATGGTAACAGGGACGCAAGAGGCACACCAGGAAGGTCTGGAAACTGATAATTCATATTAACCGCAAGTTGAAGTCCCAATTTCCATTTGCTTTCTGTTGGACTTCCGATCACACTGCAGATCTTATAAAATACTTCTCCGCCACTATTACCTTTAAACAGTCGCTGATTGGTATATAACTCCGCCATGATTGCACCCATTGCCCACATATCAACTGCAGGATCATGTACAGAAGAACGGAGAAAACCTCAGGGGCACGATACCAGCGCGTCGTGACATAACCTGTGTATGGTGGTTTCCTATTGCTCTCGCGAGCTTGACCAAGATCAGCAATCTTTATCACATCACTGGAAACAAGAAGGTTATCTGGTTTGAGGTCGCGATGAAAGTAGCCTTTTCCATGCATGTATGCAAGACCTTGAAAGAGTTGAAAGCACAAGTTTCTGATCTCACTTTCAGAAAAAGCAGCCATATTTTTCATACGATCGTAGAGACTGCATTCCATGCATTCGAACACCAAGTACAAGAAGTCGTTTTCTTTGTGGATTTCTTTGAGCTTTACGATATTCGGATGATTCATCTGGCGAAGTGCCTTGACTTCTATTAGGTTTGTGCATTCTTCCATTGATGTATACTTTTCGTACAATTTTTTGACCGCAACAACTTCACCAGTCTTTTTATTTAATGCTCGCCAAACAACCCCATACGTTCCACTCCCAATTTCCTCGATTTTTTCATACTTTTGCATTGTGCGGTGAATAGCGAATGTGTAGATAAGGGCATATAAGGCATTTATAATACTTAGAGATTTTCATATATCGAAGATTTGTGGGTTTAGGTGTTGTAATTATCTTAAAAACGATTTGATTACTTTCCTATTATGAGAAGATTGCTTTGGCTCCAAGGCTGCTCTTCCAAAATTTGAAGGATTAATGATAATAGATACAAAAGATAAATACCAAGGAATTCTCATCCGGATACAAAAGATAATTTTTTTTCCTATACACAGGGGAAGACGCCAAACAATTACACTCCGTACTATAAGAAAAAGGTATCCATGGTGATGATATGTGTTCGTTGCTACTTATCCATATATATGTTGTCGTCCGCACAGCCTTGTCACAATATATACCTTTTGTCATCGCTATACATTTCGCCACCATAGGTCTATATCGCCATATATGGCGACGACACGTCTTTGCTATAACATCAATTTATAGAAACAACTAATGACGACATGCGGTCGCTATAGCCACCGTACATATTAAATTTTTTCTGTTTTTTTTAATTATTATTATTCCAGTTTTTCCCAAACATTAACTTTGTAAAATAGTAAATCTAATAAAAAATATTGAAATTTCATACAAACACATCCCAGTTCTAATACAAATTACCATCGTCATTTAAAGTATCTTAGATGCGATGCAGCGTTTTCTTGCCTCGAATAATTAAATATGCATTATTCTGACATCAAAATAAAATTTAAATTACCAAGACCCTTTTAGATCAACCAATTTCAAGATATTGTATGACTAACTCTCAATAAATACTAGCTAAAAGGGATGTTAAAACAACATTATGACACCAATAAGGTACTTACATGATTAAGGGTACCATTTCTAACCTTATACAAGTTACAAACTTAGAGAAATTATTTCATTTGATTTAAAAATATCTTCTAAACTTGAAATTTGTAACTCCCGTAAATTCGGGGCTAGACATGAAGATAAAGTAAATAATCTTAACTAAAGATGTAGTTGTCATACTAACTATCTCGTAAATATAATGAGCGCTTAAATCCGACTTCGTATGAAAAAGTTATGTTTCTTCGAAGTTTCGCGATCAACCCGACACAACTATGTGTGTAATAAAAGTGAATCGGAGATAAATTGCTTATTAGCCTAAGTAATCTAAAAAAAGTCGTAGTAATCATAAAAACGAGAGCGTGCAAATAAATAATGCCTAAATCTAACTTCATATGAAGAAGTTATGATTTTTCGAAGTTTCAGTATAGCAGTGTGCGACACATAAATTGAAATTTTGATCAGTTGAGTGTTAGCCAAAACAATCTAAACGAGAGTTGAAGATCTCGTAAATATGAACCCGTCAATATAAAGAAAGCCGAGAACGAATTTCGTATGAAGGAATGATGGTTTTCGCACACACTTTAACAATCCAATCTCTATAAAAATAAGATTTTAAAATAGAGTGTGAATTAGCAACTGATGTCTAAAGGAAAATTCTAGAGTTCGTCGAGAGGATTCCAGGAATATAAATAACGTCAAAAACAAAGCTTGTATGCAAAAGTTATGGCCATTCGAAGATCTTTGAAAAATTACCTGGCCTTATGGCATGGCAGCATGTGGAGGTGCCACGTGTCCATGTCGGGTAGTCGCCTCCTCCGCAACACAAAGTAACATGGAACCAAGAAATTGAGACATGTGATACCATGGATTGGTAACGCATGGCAGGTTCTAGAAGAGAGTGACGTTGACTACTCAGTGATCCTTTAGGATAGGTCTCGTAAGATCATCTTAGGATTAGGGAGTGAAAATAATGAGAATGGAAAATTGGGTTATTTGTTTGATGCGAAATATATAATTAAAACAAATTAATTATAATATTTGTTGGATTAGGTGTCTAAGCTCATAACTATGATTGGTATATATTTAAATTGATGGTAGCACAGTCCTTTTGGGCTGCCCTCAAAACTAGCAACTGAACAGATAATTTTGGAGAAAGAGGTTGATTTATTATTTGATTAATAAATTTAAATAAATAATTTGTTAATATATTATGAGAATAATATATTAATTAGAAACAGTAATGTTCAATTAATATTTAATCAGAAATTAATTGGAATTAATTTTGGGATTTAGAGAATTAGTTAAAAGTGCAGGGACTGAAGTGCAATTGTTCAATAGTTGAGCAAGAGGCAATCCAGAACCCTCCATAGGCTATGGACAGTTTTCATATGCCTTAGGGTTTCTAGAATAGTCTTTGGTAGAAAAACAGAAAAGTGGATAATTACCCGGTTTAAAATAATCTTGGATTTGGGCTTATTTAGGGTTTCCTAACTGCACTATAAATAGGGAATAATCCTATGATTTTCGGCCAACTAGTTCCCTAGAGGGTTAGGCTGGAAATTCATCCTCTCTCCTCCTTCTCAATCATCTTCCTTTGCTAATGTTGGGTGTGAGCCATTAGAGGCGTGACATTTTTGACGCTTGCTCTCAAGGCTTCAACAACACAAGGATTTGCATTGTTATTACTATATAACAATCAAGGTATGAATCATCTAACCCTTATTGTGTATTTCGATTATATACTAGTATTCTAGGGTTTTACATTTTGTTGTTCAAAGTTGTATGTTCAATTAGAGAAAACATAGATCAATTTTTTAGGGTTGCATGTACACATAGGATTTATATGTTTTGCATAAAACTCATCAGTTGTATCAGAGCGTAGGTTTAGTTTTCTATTGAATTGAAAAAATAGTTGAACTTGAACAAGGAGAAGCAAAACAGAATCGTCATTCTGTTCCCCCAACACGGCATGTTATTCTTCCACCACGGCGTGTTGACCTGCGAAATCGTCCTAACGCGACGTGGTGTTTGTTTACCACAACGTGTTGGACTATCAGATCCACAAAAATCGGATTTTTTTGCTTATCTCATGAATTGATTAGGATAATTACCTTAAATATTGTCTTAAATAAGTAAAACTAAATAATTATCTAAGTTATTGGATATCCTTATCTTGAACTCATTATTGGTTTATTTTTAAATTAAAATTAATTTCTTAATTTTCTAAAATTAAAATATAAATCTTAGTATTTTGGAAAGTTTAAAATACATCCTTATGGATCTTATTATTAATTTAATTAAGTAATTAATTAAAGGATAATCAATAAATCCATAAAATGGTTTAAATTTAATTAAATTAAAAGTTTAATTTATTAAAAGATTAAACCCTTGTAATTTTAAAATGTTTTAAAATACACCTTATACTATGTATATATAATTAAAAGTTTAATATATATTATATGTATAAGAAAATTCAGTTGAACCGCTAGTACGCCTCATTCACGAAACCATACTATAAGGGGAGTTTAAGGAAGCGGCCTGTAAAATGACTGTCATTGGGTATCCATTCTTACCCATCGCTCTCTTGTATGGTGGAGGGTCGTTAGCCAAACGGGTTTGATAGGACAAATTAACCTCATTAAAAGTATAATGACAAAAAGTAACTAAACTAATTTCTAAAATCTCACTCTTGGTTACTTTAGGAAAATGTGGATTTATATGATAATCCATGAAATTGCACATTACACTTTATGAGTCGTTAGTGGAGCGTGTGTGGTTAACCGTCACACTAATGAGGGACTAATAAAGAGTGGTAATGGGTGTCTCGAAAACTATCGTTGATTAATGGAGCGCATGTGGCTAACCGGCACATTAAAACGAGATGATAAATGACATCGAGACCGCCAAGCTAATTTGCATGGTTATGCACATCTCGTTTGTGATCATCGGCATCCCAATCACAAAAGTGAGAGCATAATCGAGATTAAACATGTCATTGATTAGATTCAGTGAATCCCAAAAGATCTAGGAGTTTCATAAGATTAAAATTGGTAAAAGCCTTACCTACCTATAATAGATTGGAATTTGATTACGGCATCCTTCTTCAAAGTTCGAATCGAAAATATGGATATTAGCCTTAATTTAAATTTATGGGTTAACAATTAAGGATTAAAATCAACTAACTTGAATTTTTTGTCTCCCTTTACAGATGTCGAGTCAAGACAAACATGGTCTTCCTCATTCTTTTGGAAAGGGTTCTCCTCATTCTTCTGAAAATGATCTTCCATATTCTCATCAAGGTGAAAGTATGTTCCCATCTTTGAACAATGGTGGAAATGGAGATCATGCTTCTTCAACTCTTCCTCCTCCTCCTCCTCCATCGACTCTCCCCATGTCACAATTTGAAAGATACAAAACTGTCCAAGCCCTATTGGCAAGTAAACATCAAGACGGAAACTTTGTATGTGCGCATGTTGTGAAAATGAAATCATACATTGTCAAATTGGATAGATTGGGTGTCGTTTTCCCAAGGGAGAAGACCATTGATATGGTTCTCCTTTCACTTCCTGAATTATATAGTCAGTTCGTTGAGGACTTTTATATGAGCGACCACGACGTGACCCTAATTGATCTGACACATATAATGATTGTTGCTGAAGCAGAAATGCTTAAGAGCACAAGTGAAGCAAAAGTGTCTGAAGGATCTGTCTCCAAAGTTTCCATGGATATTGACAATGGTGGTCTAGAAAAGATTTCTCTTCCCAATGGAAAGGGATCGGCCAAGGTCAAACCGTTTAATTGCATGGTAAAGAGAAAGGCTAGTTCTGAGATTGTTCCATGTGCTAACCCTAAAAAGACCATATGTTTCTATTGCAAATTGAAGAGACATTGGTTGCGAAGCTTCCCAGACTACCTGAAATATCTTAGAGATGGTAAAGTCAAGCCGTGTGACTCCACTTCAGGTACATCCATTATCTAACTCCATTATTTTAATAAGTTCCTATTCATAGATTCTTAATACATGATGTGATGATCACATTTTGATGGTATTGCAGGATCTAAGAGAAAGAAGGAAGCTTGAGAAGAGTGAGTTGTATCTGATTGTGAGAAGATGGACTTCGGTCGCATGGTTCGATGATCAGATTTTGGAAGCTACTGCTTA